CGTGGCAGGGAGACCGTGGCGGGAAGCGGGCACCGCTGGGAGGACTCTAGGTGAGGACGTCGTGCGCCTGGTGCTCCACCAGCATCTCCATGCTCTTGACGTCCGTGCACCAGGACTCCAGGCGGTCCTTCATCCCCTGGATCTGAGGGCGGAGAGCAGAGTGAGGCAAGCAGGGCCCTAACGGGGGGACCCCGAGCTGGGGGGTGGGGGTGGGGGGCAGGACACGGCGCTGCACAGGCATCTCCCCACAACCACATTTCACACGCTGGCAGGAAAGAGAGCCGACAAGCACAGGAAATCCACAGGATTAAATTCCAACAAATGTGAGGACGGATTTAGGCTCAAATCACATAAGCAGGAACGTACCTGATGAGAGGACCAATTTTAGGATTAAGAGGCACCACCAGCATGACCAGCACTGTTACCACAATCGCTTTTAAACACCAGGTTCAGGTCCCAGGCGGCATTAAACTAGGTTCCCTGACACCCTGCCCCGCGCCCCTTCCTTCCTGGTGGCCCCGTCACCTGCTGCAGATCCAGCACTCGGGGCTGCACCCAGGTCATGTGGACGCGCCCGTCCACCTCGTCGATGCTGCCTTTCACCAGCCCCACCGACAGCGCCTTCATCACCAGCAGCTCCACCTGCGCAGAGGGCGGTGTCAGGCGGGCTCCAGCGCTGCCAAATGCTGGGAAGGACACCGCTTCTCTGTGGTCTGAGTCGGGGAGCAGGGTGCCCCCGCCCCAGGAGCACGGCCTCTCTGGGGCAGCCCCAGTCCAAACACTATACCTCGTTCACGCTGATCTTAGAACTTTTGGCAATTTCTTCAAAAGTGAGTTGTCTGTGATTGGCAGGTCGTGTGAAAGTCATCTGAAAAAAATTTTCCAAATAAGAACTGTCAGAACTAACAATAAGGACACTTCTATCAATACTTGCTCTGGAAATGTAGACGTTACTACCTCTACACTAAAGCTTCCTTTGTTTTTTATTTTTATTTATTTACTTTCATTTTGTAAAGCTTCCTTAACATTAGCCACATATCTCATTAACAACCAGCTTCCAATGCTGAGGGAGACGGTAAGATTAGCCGTTCGGCAGCTTTCTGCAAGTCACTGCGCACACCAAGCAGGTGCTTGGCGCTGGGACAATGCACTGAGCCGAACACAAGGCCCTTTTCTCAAAAGGCTCAAACTCACGCGCCACCGTGGCTCAGTGGGTGAGCGTTGACCTATGAACCAGGAGGTCACAGTTAGATTCCTGGTCAGGGCACAGGCCCGGGTTGCGGGCTCCATCCCCAGTGTGGGGCGTGCAGGAGGCAGCCGATCCCCGATTCTCTCTCATCACTGATGTTTCTATCTCCCTCTCCCTCTCCCTGCCCCTCTGAAACCAATAAAAATATAATAAAAAAGAAAAAGATATCAAAAGGGGATATCTAGCGGGAAAGTCAGATGGGCTGTAGACAAGGAGCGGCGAGTGCCAGGAGGCAGCAGCCACCTTCGCTCCGACGGTCCGGCCAGGCCTCTCTGAGGAGGTCATGGACGCT